ATGTTACAGATGCACCATGACTCATGGGTCAATTTATCAGTTGATGGAATCTGATCGAGTTTCAGTTTGGGGCTATTATAAACTAAAATGTCTTGTGCTGACATTTTTGCGGACATGTATTTTCATGTTTGAAACTGCTAGGCCATAGGGTAGGTGCATGATATGACACGGTTTTTAAAGCTGAATATAGTGGCACAGACCTAGAATCCCAGCATGCGGGATGCTGAATCTAGAGGATCATCAGTTGGAGCCAGCCTGGGCTTCACAATGAAACAATATCCATCACAGACAAGCAAGCTCAGAAACTTGGCACATTTTCCCCAAAGCAGCGGCAGCATTTTACATTTCCACAAAGAGTATGCAAGGGTCCAGGTACTCAAACGTCCAGTTTTTAATTTTAGCCATACTGGGGGGAGTGCCACATCACCAGGATACTTAGTTACATTACTTGACTGCTACAATCGAGTATGTCCTATACAGAGAGACTTGGAGGGACTGTCTAGATCAGGCTGTGTTCTGGGCAGATCTGTGGGAGGATTGTGTCCACTGTGCACGGTGTCATTCCCTGGGATTGGGTTCTGGACTGTATGAGAGTAGAGAAAGTAAGCTAGCATAGTAGGCAGGCATGTGTTCATCTTTTTCTCAGCTCTGGACCATGGATGAGACCAGCTTCCTCTGGTCTCTCAACTTCCCTGCAGGGATGTGAGCTGGGATTTCAGGCTAAAGAAACCCCTTCTCCCCTAGAGTTGCCTTTTTGGGGATGTTTGTCACAACAGCAGAAAGTCATCATAGTGTGGATCTATATTTTGCTTTTGCCTTTAGTTTTCAGTTATCTTTTACAGGAGACACAGCACCTTCTGTATGCAAAATGTGGTGCGCACAGGGGTGGTTTTGCTCTCTGTGGTCTGGGTATCAGTATTTGTGTCCTTTGAGCACTGGTTAGAAATGCAGAGTTCTAGGCCCCATCCTGAACCACTGTTGAGTGAGCCTGATAGGCACTTTATCACTTAGGAGATGATCGCAGATGAGGATTAACCCTAGAGGGGGAATCCTTAAAAAAGCAGAGAAAAACTTTAAAGGGACTGTGAAGGACTTTTGAAATCAGCATTATTGAAAATCATCCCAATGTTTTTGTTTTTCTAACAAGTATAAGGAGGGTTCATTATTCCATAATAGTTTGCAGTGGAAATTGAGTTACCAAGCGGTGGAGTGAAAAGGGGACTCCTGGTTCAAATCCATTTGAGTTCAAGTGCCTTCTTGCTTGCTGTCTGTCTGACCTTGGACAACTTGCTGGAAACCAGGCTTCCATTGCGCACAGGAGGAAATCTGTTTGCCTCATATAGTTGTCCTGCGACACCTTTCATTTTCCTTTTGAAAATGTCAGTCATTCCTACACACTTCAGGATGTATGTTATCAAAATCACGGAAGACAAACGGTGAGGGTGTGGAATGCAGGAAACCTGTTAATCCCACTGGTTCAGAATGAGACCACTACCATAAATCAAAGCCAAATCTAAAGCAAACTTTAATCAAATACTGGTTGGGTGGATTGCCTCTGGCCAGGTCCATCTCTACGTTTCCAGAGGACAACCAAAATTAAGTTTTGCAACAACTTAAGTATTTCCCAATCAGGAGCAAGCATACATCCTGATGTATTTCCTGCCTGTGAACCTCCCGCCCACACGTGATCAAGCACATCCGGTGCAGAGGGGTCAAACAAACTAGTTTAGGAAATGAAAAACATGTGACTTGTTATCGCCCATAAACAACAGCCTTTAGTGTTTCAGAAACTATCTGTCCTTAGATAAGGGGCTTGTAGATCAGAGGCATTTTTGTTTCATGGATCTCTTAGGCCTAGTAATTAAAACTTAAAACGTAGCTTGGCTCTTACAGACCGTTTGTGGGAATGTAAATTAGCAAGGCCATTGTGAAAAGCAGTAGGAAGGCGACTCAAAACATTAAAAATAAATACAAATCAATCCGTCTAGTAGGTTATTGCTTTGCCTTCTCCTCCATATTGAAATGTTGCCTTCTGAGGGGAGGAGGAAGGTTGCGCTAAGTACCAGGAGCTAAGCAAGCATGTAAAGTCATGGTTCTGGAAACTCAGAGAGCGACAAGATCCTCAGGGCCTGTCACTGGGCTTGGCTCATCAGTAGTGGCTAGGAGGAAAGGGAACTCTTCTGTGGAGCTGTCCACAAGGGGCAGAGGCCTCCAGGAAGGCTTTCATGAATCATCACCCATGCCGGGGTGGGCTTTTGTGTGATGGAGGTGCTATTGAGTCATCTACGCCTTTGTAAGTCACCCTTCACCCATACTCCTGTCAGCAACCCCAATAAACTCGTTGGCCAATCAATCTGGCCGTGGGTGGAGCAGTGTCTTTGGTCTGTCATCATTGCCCTAGCTGGGGTGAATAGACATTTGTTCGGGTCTCCCCAGGAAACGGCACATTTGGGTCCTTACCCAAACATAGTTAAATATATATCAAATGAATACTTTCACTCCTATTTTATTGCAGCATTGCTCATGATAGGCAAGACCCAGAAACACCCCCCCCAAGTTTATACCAAGAAATGAGCGGATAAAACAAATGCAGTGTGTTCAGCCAAATGCAGCATTGCTTGGTTTTAAACATTTAAAGAAACCCTGACATTTGCGACTACACAAACAAACCTGGAAGACATTGTACTAAGTGTATTAAACAATGCTCAGAAACCTTATTTTGACATGCGCTCATTTTTAGGTGGTCTGTGAAAAAGTTATATGTCCAAAAGCAGAGAATATAATCATGGTTTTCAGGCCCCAGGGGTAAGAGGTTATTGTGAGGACTTGTAGATGAACAAGTACAAAACTTATATGGGAGGCAGGGGTTGGAGAGGTCTGTGAGAGCTTGAATGAGAAATGGCCCCCATAGGCTCAGGCGTTTGAGCCCTTGGTTTCCAGTAGGTAGCAATGGTAGTGGGGGTAGCGTAGCCTTGCTGGAGGAAGTCCATCACTTGGGGAGAGCTTTGAGAGTTCGTAGTCCTGACCGACTTGCAGTTTTCTCCATGCCTGCCTGCTATCACGCCTCTCCACTGTGATAGACTGGGATTATAAACCCAGACAAGCTCTTCTTTCTGTAAGTTGCCTTTGACCATATTCGACCACAACAGAACAGTAACCAATACATGGTCTTGTAATAGTTAATCTTCATTGGTAACCTGACTGGATTGGGAATCGCCTAGGTGACACACCTCTGGGTGTGTCTAAGGGTGTTCCCATGTTCCAGAGAGGAAAGATTGTGAGTGGTACAGTGTCATGGGCTGGGGAAGGGGGGTGTCTTAGAATTAACCAAAGAACCAAGGGTAAAGGCTGCTCCTCACTGAACGGGACAGTCCCCTTCCCCATTTCTCCATATCCCCAGATGTGAGCAAGACTCCCTACCACTGACATAAGCATTCCCACCCCCACACCTTCCCTGTCATGAAGTATTGCCCTCTCTTGCACGGGTATCCAACCCCTTTACATTGCAACAGGACGTTGCTGTCTGCAAATGTGCTGGACCACATCCATTACAGGATGCCTGCAGCTCACAGACTGCATGTTGGACGCACTGGCAACTGTGAGCCGAAGTAAACCTTTGCTCCTGGGAGTTGCCTTAGGTGTTTTGTCCCAGCAACATCAAAAGTAACTAATAAAGCAGGAGCTGGGGAGATGGCTCAGTGGTAAAGTGTCTGCTGTACAAGCGGGAGGAGCAGAGTTGAGATCCTCAATGCCACAAGAAGTCCGGGTGTGGGGTATACATTTATAACCCCAGAATGGGAGCTTGGTCCAGGCTATAATGCAACAAAGTATGACAAAGATGTTCCAGGCTCAATGGACAGCCAGTTTAGCTAATTGGTGTACTCCAAACTCAGTGAGAACATTCATTTTGCCTCAAAATAAATAAATAAAATAAAAATAAATAAGGGAGAGAGAGGAATGTATCCAATCCCAATCTCTGGACGCCACACACATGGATATTCACATAATCACACATTCACCCTTCAAAATTTAATTTTAAACCAATTTAAAAACTTTTATAAAAATGTAGGAGTTGTGAAATGAATTGCAAGGAATTAGTAAAATTGACTCCTAAAACAATGTGACTCACACCGATCAAATGCTTTTAACATAGTTTAGACTTTAAAGACACCCTCCTTAAAGCAGAATCACTGATTAGGGGAAAGCCACAAGGCCTACACCACTCGTAAATACAATTTTGCATAAGCAGTAGCTAATCTTTATTAAAAGAGACAGGTCAGATAGGGTGGACAATGGTGCCCCCTGGTGGACTTTGGAAGCAGAAGCATCCAGAGGTTCCCAGTTCTTGGAGTGATTTTGAACATGATTCTTTCAAATGTTTGCCTTTGATTTCTTTTTTGAATGACCATCTTCATATTAATTTCAGTGCATTACCTATCACTATGCATCTAGTACTACCACAGACTCTTCAGGCTCACTTCTAGGAAGCATACATTTTAAACATTATATCAGAAAATGTAAGTAGTGGAAACTCAGTGTCACCCGTGAGGTGCCAGGTCCTTAAATTCCACAAGAGCAGGCTCAGGCCCTGGAAGAATCCCATCTTTAAATGGGTCTGGTAGCATCTGCCTACTTTATGCTCCCATGCACATCATCATAAATGCTGTCTGTTAATGTCTTTTGCAGATCGAAACTATTCTAAGATGCAAATGCAATCACTATGATTAGTAGGGGATTAGGTTATTGAAGGAGAATAAATTCCCACATGCATACTGATCAATTTGACACAGTGAAATGCAGTTGCAGCTATATGTTAATGTGCTATGATTAATTATGTTACTTCTCCATCACTTTTTCCTCTTCTAGAAGTCTGCTATCAATCTCAGGTGTGACTTAGTTGTGAGACACTAATAGACCAATAGACACATAGAACATGCCTACACAATCTGATGGACACTAAGATTTTACTTGTAGATTTAATTTACCTTTTCCATCAGTGTTTTGAGGCAGATGTTCCACTTGAGCAAGAAGGCCATGAAAGTTTAGAAGATTGTGACCAGGAGCCCCCAGGGAGAGAAGTCCTCTCACACATTACTTGTTGCTAAAGCAATGTGCGCAGCAGTCTCCCTGTGTCTGCACAACTTTTATTAAGCAAGATACTCTGGAGCAGGAGGGTATTCCAGTGGGTAGGAGAACTTTCTCTGGAGCAGGAGGGTATTCCAGTGGGTAGGAGAACTTTCTCTGGGGCAGGAGGGTATTCCAGTGGGTAGGAGAACTTTCTCTGTAAATGAGGACTTGGGTTGGTATTTCCAGCACCCACATAAAAGGCTTTGACAAGACTGTGAATGTGGGTGCCTTCAGCTTTAGGGAAGGAGACAGATGGAGCCCCAGGAACTTCCTGGTCAGTCAACCTAGCCCAAACAGTAAGCTCCAAGTTCTTTGAGAGATCCTGTCTCAAAGAAACAGAACAGATAGTAGGAGCAATAGAGGAGCAGGTGGAACAGCCTGCTGTGACCTCCACACACACTTGTATCCACACACTCATGTGCACATCACACACACTCACACACTCATGTGCACACATCAATACATACTCCTTCACTCACATGCATACTTCACACACTCACTCATATGCACATGCCACGCACACTCACACACTCATGTGCATACATCACACATGCATACCTGCTCACATCTTGTGCATAACACAGCACACATGTGCACACATCACACATATTCGCACACTCCTGAGCATGTACATCTCTCTCTCTCTCTCTCTCTCTCTCTCTCTCTCTCTCTCTCTCTCTCTCTCTCTCTATCTCCCACACACCCTTCCATTATTTGTCCCATCTGTCCTTTTGACATCCACCTCTGGCCTCCATATGCATTCACACACATATCTGAGCACCCACACAAATATGCACACACCCACATGAATACATAGGCAGGCACACACCAACACACACAAAATGAAGGCAGGAGAGAGGAAAGGATAATTTACAGTGGGCATGTATCCCGAACTCAGTAGAATTATAGGAATTGCATGGTGTCAAATCCAGCAGACCCTCTGAATAATTAGGAAGAACACACACACACACACACACACACACACACACACACACACACACACACCGCACTGCACCTCCTGCTCTATGTGAAGTTGAAGCCGGTCACCTTTGGGAAGTCTGTAGGTTCATCTGTTTCAAGGCACTGCTTCCCCACACTGGAAATCCCAGGAAAGTGACAGAATCTTCAAGAGTCCAACTTGTTCATGGTGGAGACAGAAGGAGGAAACTAGAACCATCCTGAATAAGGAGGAAAGATGGAGTCCTGGTTTCATTCTGTTGCTGTGACAAGTGGCAATGTAGGGAAGCAAAGGGTTTCTTTGGTTCACGTTTCCAGGTTACAGTCCCAATTCTACAAGGAAGTGATACTTCTTTATTTGAAGTGACCCAGTTTTACCATATTTGCTAGTCCTGCATCAATTAAGTTGCATCAAATTGCGTTGCAGAAAAACCAGACTGTTTCCAGCATTGCTACCAAGAATGTGACAAGAAGAAACTTACAGCAAGGATTTATTTTAGCTCTCAGTTTCACAGTGGCAGACTCTTGGCAGCTGGGACTCTGGCTGAAATGACTGCAGCTGTGGCATAGTTTCTTACATTCTGGACCACAGGAAGTAAAGATGGGATAGGAAACAGACAGATATAAACCTCAATGCCCATTCCAACAGGTATCAACTTCCTCTGGCTAGGTTCCACAGCTTCTCCAAAACAGTGCCACCATCCGAGGACCAAGTCTTCAAATACATTTACCCATGGGAAACATTGTACATCCAAATCATAATAGACATTGACCCCAAGGTTGTTCAGGCTAAGTTTATAACATAGCATAATATAATGAGATGTCATTCATACAATTGGTACGAAAGAGCAGAAAATGAATTCTGGACACATCACCCTTTTATTTATTAAATGAATGTTTAATAATCCCATATATATATATATATTAGACTTTAGAGCTACAGTGATAGGCAGACTAAGTAGATATGGGCCATGCTCTGATTACAGCAGGATGGTCAAAGTAGACTTCTTGAGAAGGGGACACCTAAGCAGAATGTGCAGGAGTTTCAGGAATTGATTGTAGAGGAAGTATATTACAGCTAGAAACAACAGAGAATATAAAGGTCCTCATACATATGTTTTCTGGGTTGTTCCAGTGTTGACAACAAAGCCAGGTTGTCTAGATAGCTACGGCAATAACAGGCATGGGGGAGGGGTTTATTTTATGAAAATCCTGTGGGCTAGGGTAAGGACTCTAGATTTTACTGATAAAAACGGGGAACCATTGCTGATGGGGGTAGCAAGTGACATGATCCAGCTTGCCCTTCATCAGAATGCTTCGTTTCATTTTATAGCCCATGACTATATATCGTGACAAGGATATCCTTAGATGATGTACACTATCTGTGTGACCTTGGATCCTGAACTAAACAGGCTTGGATATACCTCACTGAGTCACTGTGAGACTCCAATAACAGGCAGTGATGATTCCTGTCATCCTTGTCAATTCGATTGGATTTGGAATCAGTTAGGAGACATACCTCTGTGAGTATGTTTCAAATAAATGTAACGTAAGAGAGAAAACCCACACTGAATCTGGGTGGCACCATCCCAGGCATTAGACTATCTGGCCGAATAAAAGGAGGGAGAAAGAGAAAGCGGGGCAGCCGTCAACAGTTAGAGCTCTCTCCCTGAGTCTTGTGAATGCTGTCAAGCTTTTCCTGTCAGGATAGACTGTATCCCTTAACATTGCAAACCAAAATAGGCCCGTCTTTCCACACATTGCTATTGGTCAGGCATTTGGTCACTGCTTTGAGAAAAGTAATTAAAACACCTGCTACACAGATATTTACATACTATAAAATGCTACTTTGGGGTAGTAACATAGAGTGGCCTAGAAGAAATACACGTTTTGTTTAGTAGGCATTAGGCTGTAACTGGAGTTTTCTTTCCTGCCAGGTCCCACAACTGCTTCAGCCCCAATTAAGCACACAAAACACTATAGTAATTATAAAATTATTGGCTGATGACTAGGGATTCTTATTGGCTAACTCTGTCTTAATTCTTAACCCATTTCTGTTGATCTATGTATTTCCACGTGGTCTTGGCTTACCAAAGAATGCCCGGACCTGTTTCTCCTTTTGTGGCTACATGGAATCTCTCCACGGTCTCTCTCTGTCTACCTTTCCCAGAATTCTTCTCGTCTCCCTATCCTTTTGCCTCTATTGGCCAAATGGTGCTTTATTCATCAACTAATAAGAGAAACATATATTCAGAAAGACATCCCCCATCATTATGCATTACAGAAAGGAGCAATGTCACTCCTAAAGAGATCAAAATTGATTTTTAGAAAGCAAAAAGTTTTGTTTCTTTATGGGGTTGGGGTATATGGGAATGATTATGAAAAATATAATCAGAAACACTAAGAAACTGGGTAGCAGAGTGATCACAAAGATGGAGATTTTGAATTTTTATTTATTTTATTTTGTGGGTATGAATGTCTGTCTGTGTCAATGTATGTGTACCATGGAGGTCAGAAGAGGGCATCAGATCGCTTGGAAATGGAGTTAAAATAAGTTGTGAACCAAACCTAGGTCTTCTGCAAGAGCAACAAGTGCTCTTAACTGATGAACCATTTCTCCATTCCCAAACCCCACCCCCAGCTAGAGGTTTGAGAATCATAGCTGATGTCAACTGTCCCTAAGTTGTGTGAACTTGCAACAATCTTAAATAAAATTCCAGATGAATGGGCTGCTAGGTTATCTAAAGCTTTAAAATTATGGAGAAAATTTGAGCTGGGACCATTAAGTTATGAACACCTAATTCTGGAACCCAAGATAATCTGACAGATGTCTGTACTCATTAAACCATTTCAGTAAAATACAGAGTTAGTATTCCCTGGTTTAGTGGCACACATGTTTAATGCCAGCACTTGGAAGGCAGAGGAAGGTGGATCTCTGGGAGTTCGATGCCAGTCTGGTCTACATAGCTATTAGACCAGATTTTATTTTTGGCCTGACAGCTCACAAATAATGGCATGGAGGCTTCTTATTATTGATGGCCTTTCACCCTGTAGCTTAGGATTGTTCCTGACTAGCTCTTATAACTTAAACCCACTTATATTGTGCTATGTTCTATAATGTGGCATCACCTCTCTTCCTGTTCACACCTCCCATTTCCTCTCCATGTCTCCTGACATCTCTTCTACACTCTGATTATTTCTTTCTATTCCCTCTCCCTCTCTCTCTGCCCATACGTCCCATCTATCTCTCCTGCCTAGCTATCGACCATTCAGCTCTTTATTAAACCAATCAGAAGGCGCCTTGGCAAAGACACACCTTCATGGTGTAAACAAATATTCCATACTATTGAAGGCCACATGGTAAGCCCTTGTGGGAAGATGGGGGGCATCTCTATAGGACATCTACCGGGTGGACTTGCACGTACAGCTCTTTAGGGCATAGCCCCGGCTAAGGTTAACTGCACCTAACGCCTCGTGCAGTTTTCCTGCGTCTGTTAGGGTTTATTTTGTTTTCCCAGGATGGATACCTTCTGCTTCCTTTGTCTAGTGCTCAGTTCAGAATCCTGCATGTGAGAGTATCTTAGTGGATATCTGTTGACTGTAGACACCCATGTTCAAGGTGAGGGCTCGGGATACAAACCAAAAGCACAGATGTTTGAGTTCCGCTTTGTGTGGTCTGTATTGATGCGCCCACGGTCACTTATCTTCCTTTCCTTCAGCCATTTAATCACCTACTGGTGTTTCCAGATAAGAACTGTAAACGGAATCAGTTACTTTGCTGGCCTGTGTGGAAATCATGACATAGGGCATTCAAAGAATCATTGTGTGATGAATTCAGCTGTAAGCAGACAGGTTTACGCTGAATGATAGTCCTCCAATGACTTGTGGCTTTTTGGTTTTTGTTTTTGTTTTTGTATGGGTCAGTAGCTAGAGTGACTGCAGCAGAAGCTCTTCCATGAGTGACAAGAGACTAAATGTTCAGAATTTCAGCTTGCATGGGGGTTGATGCTTGGATTTCTAGGAGTTATTGGAAGTGAAGCAACAAGTGTCTTTAGTAGTGAAGGGGTTAACCACGTGGGTGAACCTTATCTTCCGTCCAGTGGACCTGTGGTTTGCTTATTAAGTCTCCAGTAAATGATTGCTAGAGACCTGTCGTGGATATCTGTTGCTAAGGGCTGCCTCTCAAAAGCCCATTGATTCCTCCACGCGTGGAGAAGCATCATCCTCTGGCCCTCTCCTTAGCCAGTCCTACTAAGCTCTTCCTGGGAAAGGACCTACCAGGACCAAGCAGCATGAATGATGAAGGCTACAGCAACATCTACGACACAATCCAAAAGGGAATGGACGACAAGGGTCCAGACCAGCTAGAGGAAGATAAAGGTCCTTTATATGATAGAGTCTGTGAAGACCTGGGGACAGAAAATGGTCTGTATGCCAACAGGTTAGACAACCACGAATACGATTCTTTGTCAGTGTATGCCTTGAAAAGTGAAGAAGTTACCTCAGCCCACTGGGAATCAGAAGTGGAAGGTTACCTCCTGCCCGATGAGGTGTTTTCTGAGTCCCAGGAGGCTAGGGGCATCTCCATAGGAGCCTCACAGGACTCAGAGCCTCTCCCACGGGAGCTGCAGGAGAACGGAAGAATGACTCGGGCAGATTTGCCTCCTTTACCGAGCTTCACTGTTCAGCACAGCAAGGGCTTTTCCACCAGCGGGGACTCCCCTACCTGCTCTTCCTCTGCTACTGATTTTGAAGAAAGTAAGGCAGCTTCCAACAGCCCCGAGATCTTCCTGTTCGTGAAGGTAAGGGCTGCCTCTGGCAGACACACCCACGCAGGGTGAGGTGTTCCGTGTTTTGTTTTGCTCTGTAGACCAGGGGACAGTGTGTCCTAGAGGGTCACCATCCATACCCCAGAGCAGAGATGATTAAATTGATCATTTGGGATCACTTCAGAACTTCTCAAAATGATCCGAATTAGAAAATCCATTTAAACTTTGTATTTAATCATCAACTTTTATAAACCACAGGAAAAGTACTTTCTAAGGGTTGAAACGAGTGACTAGAAATTACTGTTCAAGTTTTTACATTTGTGGTAGACATTTACTGCTTTTTCCTTTTTGATTAAATTTCCTTTGTCAGCATGATATTTTAAAATGAAACCAAAGCCAGTGAGAGAAAGCCATCTCCTTTGTGTTTCTAAGGTTGCACAGATTTCAGATACTTGGGCAGTAAATGCTGTGACTGTCATGGTGCCTGCCCTGTCACCACCAATAAAAGTCAAGATTTGATGATGTAAAATAATTTCAGAAGCACCAAGACGCCAACCATGTGTTAATATTTAATAACTATGATACTGAAACAAAAAGTATTTGGTGACCATTGTATTAGATTGATAATGTCATAAAGGCTATGGTTACAAATATTACCAAAATATGAAGTGAATCAGAGTTAAATAGATCAAAGTGGCAGACCCCGCCTCTCCAGCCCCCCACCAATGCATCCCATAGTCCCCTTCACATGAATTTCTTCATGTGAAAACACATTCATGTGCATTGCTATTTCTTGCTAATAAAAATGAATACTACGGTTGGGAAGATGATTTGGTGGTTAAAGCCCAGCTGCTCAAGTGTTAGGGATGGAGTTCAGATCTCCAGAACCCATGCAAATGCCAGATGGGTATGGCACTCCATCTGTAATTCCAGTGCTCAGGAGACTGGGTCAAGCTGGTTAGGAAGATTAGTGGAATTGTCAAGCAGTGGGTTCAGCTGAGACACTCTGCCTCAATGAGTACGGTGCAAAGCAATTCAAAAGGCTGCTGATGTCAGCCTTAGGCCTTTAGATGCATGTTCCCGCATGCAGGTGTGCATGTGTGCACCCAGAACATGCACCGCATACATATACACACATGAGAAAAGGCAGTGGTTGCTCCTGGGACTGGGGATGTACCTCAGCTGGTAGAGAGCTGATCAACAGCAGCTTACACCATCCCTAGCATCACATAAAACTTCCAGCCCTGGTGGAAATCTAATCTTAGTACACAGGAAGGTGGAGCCAAGAAGCTCACAAGTCCAAGGTCATCCTTGGTTTCATTGTTCCAAGCTAACCGAGGCTATAAGAGATCTTGTTTGAAAAAAAAGTTATTCTTTGAACCCATGAAACCCTATTCCATGATAATCTTTCTCCTTTATGGTTTCCAAGATACTTCTAATGAAGTGAACTTTGTGGATTGATTACTTTAAAATACATCGTTTTGTACTTTGTTTTGCATATCGTGTCTCCCTGGATCTACTTTTGAAAAAGATCACATGGAGCTTCCATCACACTTGGGAGGGAACATGCCGAGTGCTTGCGGGAGAAGGGATGCAGGAGATGCGACGTTGGCTCTTGAGAAATGAATACCGTGTTGTAAGAGGCAGGAGGGAGGGGCAGTGGACATGTTGTAAGAGACAGAGCAGTGGAGAGCGGTGTGTGTTCCGCAGGAGATGCTGAGCTGAGCAAGGGGAGTCAGTACAGGCTCTGTGACTGAGGTGACATCAAGCAACCTGCCCATCTCTGTGTCCACATCCAGATGACATCACAGTGTTCAAACTCACTTTTTAAGAAGTGGAAACTAGATGTGTTTCTTCTCAAGATGGGGAGGGTCATTACCATCCTCACTGGGGTAAATCTGGCAAAGGTTTTAGGGTTGGAATCAAGCAGAAATGGCAGTAAACAGGACTGTGGGTGTCACCTGCTGGTACCAGCAGTGGGAGATGCTGCCTAACAGTAACAATGGACTCTGAAATTGTTTATCTCTCCTTCTCTAAGGCAGACGTTGGACTTGAGCTATTTAAGTTCATATTGTGTCTTAGTAACGTTATGTTATGAAGAGACCACAGACTATACTTCTGACTTCCTCCTTTTTCTCCTCCTCCTTTTCTTTCCCCTCCTTCTCTTACATCTCTCTGGTAAGCAGTATCATTTAAAAAGCCTTAGTTTGGTTTCATCAACAAGCGCATGTTGCCATGTTAAGTAGCATTCGCAATTTCCAGGAATTAGTATGGACACAGTTGTGGCCATTGTTCAGTGTCCCACAGAGCAGAGTGTTGAGGGGAGGGAGAAAGCAACATGGCTGGGTGTGGAGAAGCAGACGGGTGAGGTGTTGGGAGGCTAGAGATGAGCACCTGGGCTGCATCAGCCCCTGAGCTTCAGAAGGACTTTCACTCTGAGTGATCCAGGCAATCTCTGGATCATTTCAAAAGGAGCCCTGGGGGCAGTTTTATAAAAGCAGACTGTATATTAGGAAGGTAAAATCGGGAGCTGAGGTTGGATTAGACTCCCATGATGGGGAAGCAGTGGGGGATGGGAACGGACTGGGAGAGGTGTTTGCTGATGGGTTTTACAGAGTTTAATGAGCGAAAGCCTTGGTTAACTTTAGAGGTTGGATACAGAGGGAATGGGGGTATTCCTTCCATTCCATCCACAGACTCCTCTCAGGGGACTTGTGACTGAGGGAGTGGACTTTCCCAAATGGCGTCTGTATGCATGTGTCAGAGGGAAACAGTGGTGGAGAGGTTGCATGCAGAAAAGCATTCTTGCATTTTGTTTCGTGACAAGGAAAACAAGTAACCTGATGATGATTATTACAAAGGAAAATGGCACAAATATACACCATTTGTCAGATGCAACACCGATGGCATTAATCAGGGGAAGGATGGTTCCACAAATTAATTATCTGAGAGACAGTAGTCTCATGTAGCTCAGGCTGGCCTCCAACTTGCTATGTAGCTGAGGATGGCCTTGAACTTCTGATCTCCCTGCCTCTACCCCTTGGGTGCTAGGATCACACCATGCCTGGTTTTTTCTTTTTCTTCCTTTTTGAACTTAAGTTAGAAACAAGCTTGCTTCACATGTCAAGCCCAGCTCCCTCTGCCATGCCCGGTTTATGCAGTGCTGGGGATGGAGCCGAGGGCTTTGTGTTTGTTAGGCAAGCATTTTACCCATTCACTACATCCCCAGCTTGCAAGTTAATTTTTGTTGAATTCGTAGTTTCCCTCCACTTCCGTTTGCTCACTGGCAAAACGGGTGCTATAATGACGCATCCCTCATAGGGGTGTGCTGAATAATGTATAAGGTGGTGCATGTGAGCTGCATAGGATCTTGTCTGACAGACCCTAAATGTCAATACATAAGGTTCTGAATTATTTCTTGTTCGGAATTTGAACCTTATGAAAATAACTTACTTTAAGTATGATACTTTTTGCTGTAAACAATGAATAGCTACATTATTGTTTTATTCTACTACGAGTATGTATTGTTGAGGAACAAACACTGGTCTATTGTTCTGCGTCAATATTGTGGTATGAAATACTCCGGTACCCAAATTTCCTCATATTAGAAATGCAATCTACTCTAGCACTTATAGTCTTTGGTTCCAAGGTGCACAACCCTATCTGTTTATCAGCTGTATACACAGAGGGAACCTTCGATTATCCACTCTAGGAGGATGGTGACAGAAATTTTCTCTAGATTTGGGTGTGGTTGGAAAGATTGTCATAAACCCAACATTTCTGTTCAGCTCATGTGGATCTGCTTTCTTTAAAATATTGGCAATCATGGTCAGCAGAGCCTGTCTGTGATTGGAACACCCCTGAGGTCAACATGGAGAGACACACATTTTGTGGACAGAACAAATTTGAATAGCACTAAAATTTTTCATAGAAAATATAAGTAGTGTTGTTCTGAAGGCAGGTGACATAACAGGCAGCCTCAATTAGTGTCTTTGAGATTCATGGTCCAGGGCTTCTAGTCAGTGGCAAACTGCAACTCTGGCCACTCATCCAAGAGTATTTTCCTATCCTTTGATTTTTGGCTTTGTGGGATCTTGTTTGTGTTGTTATTGTTTTCAGACAGAGTACCATGTAATATCTGAAGATAGCCTGGAACTCCAGATCTTCCTGCCTCCAGCTCCTAAGTGCTGGGTTCACAGCCATGAGCCACCATCCCTGGCTCTAGATTTATTTTTCTAAAGAAATGATTATACCATAACCTGACTCAGGATTGTAAAGAAGTGTCACTCAATAGTTTTCTTTGCTCTAGCCTAACAATAAAAAGAAATGTTCAACAAACATTTTACTGAGTTTCAGTCACATAAGGACCTTGATATGATTGAATTAGGAGCTACTCAACCTAATTCATGTGGCCTTAGAATGTTAGAACTGGAATTAAAAATACTAAGCAATATGTATATTTACTTTTCACCAACTTCTCTTAATTAGTAACTTTTACATATGTTATATTGTGCACATATACTCTTTAATGTGCCACATTAATAAATTTTAAGTGAAACGTTGCATGAATATTGTTTATAAACACCTGCTTTTTGTGTGGAGAGAACATATTGATTCATAGGCCTTCCTTCTTCCTGACTGTAGGAAGGCCTGGAGCTCTTGCCTTGGCCATTGCCTGATGAGATCAGGTCTTGTGAGCATTCAAGTTCATCCCAGGAATTTTCATGAGCAACTCAATGAATGCATTTGTCTTTAATATGAACAAGGTTGGTCATTGCGGGTGAGAAACTATAAAATACCATTGGGCAATGAGGGAGAGGAAGGTGAACCTGGATGCTGAATTCCAACTCAACCATGGCTGTGGATGGGTAGCACTAGCAGGGCATGGCAGAGGTGCCCAAGGATACGTCTAGATGCATGTGGCTGGGTGGACAGAAGCCCATGGAGATGCCAGATGGTGAAGGCGAAGAACTAATGTCACTTTGCCTACAAACTAAGGAACTTGGAGTTTATCCTGGAAGCCATCAAGAGTGAGAGAATGTTTTTTGAGGAGGAGTCATTAGCAAAGCCACATACCAGGCAACAGACAACCAAATTATGTGCATTTCCATGTATGACCCAGATCAGGACCAAGACATATCTTGATTCAGGCCTAAGACTTATTCAGAGATTTAATTGTAAATACCTGTGTGCAACTAAGGCTGTTCCTTTTCCATCTGGATATGCCCAAATATTAAAGTGCTTGGTTTTATACACACAGAGTACGTCAGTAAAAGCTAGCTAGCCAGTGAAATATTGTTTTATAGATTACTTCTGTGTGTTTGCAGTTGCTTCATTGGAGCACAGAAATATCAACTATTATTATTTTAGTATAAAAATGTGCCTGCATATGTCTGTAATAGCCAGGCTAGAGCACTCCTCTGGTGCCTAGAAGGTGTTTCTGTTCCACGATGGGGAAGAACATACAGCTCTAATGTTACCGCTAAGGATGTTGCAAGTAAGTTCTTGGAAACATTTGTAAGACTACATAAGCCTGATCTTGTCTCCTGAGCACTTGTCCTTCCACAGAACCAGTGAAGCCTGTAGAAATGGAGCAATGGCCTGGTGTCAATAGATCACTCTCCATGCTGTAATTTCATCTTAACTTCAATGCTTGGAACTCCATCAAGTCTCAGTCTCATCCAAAGCCATTTCTGAGAGGCCCATGTGAACTGCTTTGCTTTGGAAATCTATTCCATCAGTCAAAGAAGTCACAGAATCCCAACACTGTGACAAGAACAAACCAGCTAACTAGAAACTTTCACAGAGCTGTCTGTGACTTGCTGGCCTTCTAGGCTATTAGTCAAGGGTGCTTTTCTTTATATTGACACCTATGGCTTGGGAGGCTGAGTTGTCATCTAGATGTTTCAAAAGGTTCAGGAACATTCCAAAGCTCTATGCAAAATGTTCAGTCAGATGACATCAGAAATTGTAATTGACCACTGTGAAATAGTCTTCCTTTCCTACATTGGCACTTTTGTCTCTGATATTGTGTGGGAAGGAGTAGAGAGAGCATGCTGTTATGAGAATTACTCCCTGTTGTGAGACTTACTCCCTGATTTCCTGTGTAGTCAACTGTGGGCTCTAAACATTTCTGTCATCCTGAGAATTTACTTCAAAAGAGTAGAAGGAAGTATTGCTCAAGTCAGCAGGTGGGGATTACATTAGTTCTCAAAATAAAGGTGGTAGGAGACTTTGAAATAAATTCTCCAACCTAGTAGTCTTGATATTTCTAAGTGTTGGGTAACCTTGTCTTGAAGAGATCCAAACACGTGATCATTCATCTTTTTTTTAACATTTTTTATTTTAATTTTAAATAGCTTGTTTTACATGTCAATCCCAGTTCCCTCTCCCTCCCCTCCTCCCGCACTCCTCTTCCCCCCTCCCACCCTATTGCCAAATCCTTCCACATAGGGGATATCTAGAGTCTGTCATTTTACTCTGGGTAGGGTCCAGGCACTCCCCTAAGAGTCCAGGCTGAGAGAGCATCCCTCTTTGTGCTATAGGCACACGAAGACTGTTTGTATACCAGGGATAGACACTGATCCACAGCTCAGGGCCCCAAAGGTTGCCCAGGCCTTCTCGCTGACACTCACATTTGGGGGGTCCAGATCAGTCCCATGCTGGCCTCCCCACTGTCAGTCTGGGGTCCAAGAGCTCTCCCCTGCTCAGATCAGCTGTCTCTGCTGGTTTTGCTAGCCCATTCTTTGCCAATTTGCTCATCACTCCTCTCTCTGTCACTGGGTTCCTTGGGTTCAGTTCAGTGATTAATTGTGTGTTTGCCTCTGCTTCCATCAGTCACAGGATGAAGGCTCCCGGATGGTTATAGACATCAAGTTCATTATCAGGAATGGGCATTCAGGGTGGTCTCTCCACTATTGCTTAGCTTACCAATTGGTGTTATCCCTTTAGGTGATCATTCATCTTAGATAGGGCATGGAAATAGACAGAAGAACCATTCCACCTAAGTACATTGGTAAGCCATTAAGTCCTTTGGTTTTATGGAGTATAGTTGAAGGGTTATTTGTATGAGCATGGGTGACCCTAAAGATTTACATTCTTAGAAAGTCTCACCTGAGTCTGAATGATGAGATTTTCACAGTTATGTAGATGGAGTCCCCATTACACGTCAGCTTCATGTTTTATATAATATCCAAAGGCCATATGCAGCTGGGACAGAGTTTCATACAGTTGTGAGGGGAGGGTTTGGAGGGGCTGAGTGTCTATGATATCAGACAAGGGTCTAATGGTGTTTCCCAGCCCTCCTTTATGATGAAACATTAACAAGCCCACTGCCCAGAATACACTCATTTCTGCCATATAGTCAACCCTTCCTCTTCTTTCTGGACTAATGCTTCCTGGGAAGATACCCCCAACCCTCAGTGCAGTTCTGAAAGACCTCTCCTCAGTGCTTACCTTTGTCATAATGCTTGTCACTACAGATTGACATGATCTAGTTGGTTGGGTCTCCTCAGTTCCCCACTAGACAGAAGCCTCCATAATGAAAGCCATATGTTGCTCCCATATAACTTCCACAGTTAGCAGAATCTGGCCCATAGTTGGGTCTGAGAAGTACTTGTTGAGCTGAATTGGCCAGTGTTGATTATGAAAAGTGTAATTGGGTTTGCTGTTGGAGGGCTCATTTCTTGGTGTTCTCTGGGACACTAGGCAAGCTTTCAAGCGGAACCCATTTCTCTGAATGCTAGTGAGAAACTGTCTGGCAGGGAGGAGAAAGAGAAACTGAAACTCACATCTACTGATGCTTGCTCTGGGTTAGGTCACTGTGCTGGCCTTGTCTTTTGGATAGAGCTCTGGAGCTAGGGCAACCAGGCAGCGCTGAAGATGTCACTGCACTCTGGGTCTTAGACTTCTCACTCGTGAAAACAAATTGTTGAATATGATTCATCCAGGCTCTCCTCTCTCCTTCGAGGAAGCGGTTTGTCTACATGATTTAAAGATTGAAAGAAACAGAAGAGCATCACTCCCCAGCCACATTTCCATTTGTGGTTCCGGTGGCAAGCCACTCTGAAACTACATGAATGGGCTTCCTGTGGCAAACATGAGTGCAAGTTTATGTGTCTGAAATTATCTTTAGATTTTCCTCTTGGTATGGATTACGACATACCTTGTACCCTATTATTTAGGATGATACGTACAATAAAATTCCATTTAGGTATATGCTTTGATGAGCTTTGACAGACGTGCATAGCCATGACACAATGACTGCAATCTTCATACAGAGTGTGCTCATCACCTCAGAAAGTCCTCCAGGCACCTCCTGACTCTCAGAAGCCACTCACCTTCAATTCTTTCTTTACAGTGTTGTCTTCTTCAAAAGATGACATGAGGTACAGCACAATGGTAGAACACTTGCCTGGTGTATGAAAGCCTGGGGTTAGATCCCCAGTATTGTTTCTAAAAAGCATTTAATTAACCCAGGGTCCACACTGCCCTGTGTGTGTGATTTCTTAATGCTTGTGAGTTCCTCTGCATTGTTTTTAAAAAGCATTTAATTAATCCAGGGTCCACACTGCCCTGTGTGTGTGATTTCTTAATGCTTGTGAGTTCATCTGCATTGGCATACTTACCTGCAGTTAATACTACCACCTAGTAGTATTCCGTTGTATGATATGCTACAGTTTGTTTATTCACTCAACAGTAAGCACTTGGACAATTCCACAGCCTTTGCCTATTAATGATGGGGCTTCTACAATATATAGGTTTTTGTGTTGATTTTTTCTCCTGGGTAATAAATACTACAGGGGTAATTTTTGAGTTAAATTACTCCTACTTTGAAAACTGTCAGATTGTTCAGATATTTATTTTTGTGGCTGTCAACATCTGACCAGACTTCATCTCCTTCAGCCCTGGGCATTGTCTCTTCCAGTGACTAATGATCTGGGACCAGCTGACATGCTCTGCTTCCTTACATCAACTTTGGTGGAGCACGCACTCGAATATTCTGTTCATTGTGCCGTTTCAGTCTTTTGTCTTCTTACTGGTGGAGTTTTAAAAGTCATTTGGGTGTTGGATGACATTTTCAATGGCTAAATGGCTATCAAATAGTTTATGAGCCCGCAGGTGTCATTTCATTTTCGTTACTGCAACCACTTGAAGACAGAACTCCGTCATTCTGATGAAATCTGCTGTCTTGGTGTGCCTTGTATGGCTATAACGGAATGACCCCTGGAGAGTGTGTAAACAAAAGAGGTTTATTTGGGCTGGAACTCTGATAGATGAGAAGTTAAACAGCAAGATATTTGTAACATTACACTGGGGAGGCAGAGCTGCTGCATACAGAAGGTGTGTGACATGAGCCAGAAAGTCAGCTCTCTGAGAGTTGTGTCACCCCTTTCTGGGGGGGTACTGCCTTCGTCATCTAAACGTCTCTTAAAGCCACCCCTACTCGGTGCAGTTATAATGGGCTCAAAGCTTCTGGGTAACACATTGATACCATAACCAACATGCAGCATCCATATGCCAACATGGTTTATCCATTTTTTCTTTAGAAAGGTTTGTCTAACTTTAGGTCACTAAGATTTTCTTACTATCTTTTGTTGAGAAATTTTATAGCTTTAAGCCTATATTTCCCGTCAAGCTCACTTCATGTCTGGTACAAGAATTGGTTCTGTTTTTCTTCCTGCATTTCTCCTTTCCTTATTCCCTCAATTGTTCTTTATTTCTTTAATATTTTATTTTTATTTCTAATTATGTGCATAGATGTGTATGGTAGGGGGTGTGCATAGGAGTGCAGTGCGGTTGGAAGCCAGAAGACGGCGTCAGAGGCCCCGGAGCTGGAGTTACAGGTGGTTTTGGGGTACCCACTGTGGATGCTGGAAACTGAACTCAGGTTCTCTGCAAAAGTGATATCAGCTCTTAGTTCCTGAGTCATTTCTCCAGCCCCTCCTTTTTCTTTTTATTGAGATACATCAATTCATTTTTAAATGTTACACCAGCCTTGAGATAGCCTTTCTGCAATGTGTATTATTATTTTCATGGTTTCTAGACTTGATTTATTATAATTTTGTTGACGTCTTCTGCAAACCTGCTCATGAAGGATATTTGTGTGTGGATTTATTTACATTTATTTGCCTGGTTTTCTTATAGAAATGAGTGGGAATGTGGCTCCTCTATTTTGTGAGGTAGATTTTAATATAATTGCTACTATTCTTTCCTTAAGAGCTTGGAAGAATTCACTAGTAGAATAATCTTCACTGGATATTTATTTTTGTGGAAATCCATTCTTTCCTTTTACAAACGGGTGTAACAGACTCGGGATCATTGATTTCTTCACCTGTGAGCTTGGTCATTTGTGGCTTTCAAGTTATTTGTTGTCTCTGTGAGTTGGTGAATATCTTGTCAAGTGTCTCTTCATCAGGTTCATGTTTCCTTCTACATTTGTACATGTATATTTTATGTAATTTTAATGTTCCTTTACACTGGCTTGATCGTTTTATTTACCTATGAGTGTATATTGATTGATTGCCCTCCCTACACCCATTACGAGCTGCATCTCGTTAATTGTGGGCATCCTGGATATATTTTGGCCTCCAGATACAATGTTGGGTCCTATGCTTTGTTGTAACCCTTTAAAGAGGACCAGGCCTCATTCTACATGGCAAATTAAATAATAAGGGTCCATCTGCAGTATACCTTTGTAACTATCTATCTATCTATCATCTACCTATGCATTGCCTATCATACGTCATATATCTGTATGTCATCTATCATCTATATTTAATCAACCTATTATGTATCATCTATCTACGAATCATCCATATGTCTATCCATCTAATCTCTCTCTATATATAATATAACATATTTATATTAGTCTCTCTATAGATATAATTATTTTTCTATCTGTCTGTCGGTCTGTCTATAAAACGATGATTTTCAGATTCCCAGAATGGGTAATATAGGAGCTATGTAGTCCCTGTGTTGAGTGAACAATGGACTTCAGAATTTGAACAGGTTGAAGCAACTGGAATTTTTGGTAAACAATAGATAGACCCTCTTAAATATTTGGCTAGGTCCAGACTTGCAGTGCTCACTTGCAGAAACTAATAGGAAAAACACTGAAATGAGTTGGAGAAACAACTCCAGGCCCCCACACTATACTGTTGAGAGTCCGTGTTTCCAAGGGGTGGCAAAGGGGAAGACTTAGTACACACACATTGGGTAGAGTCCTCACAGAACACTGCTCCACAAATACAGCCAAATAACTAGATAAAACATTACAATTTAGGTGTTTGCTAAACAATGCACTCTCTTATTTATTTCAGCAGTTGCCATGTGATTGCTGCCCGCAAGCCCTTTCAGTGCAGCCGATGGCTTTTAACAATATGGCATTTATTGTTGTTGCACAGGTTCATTCAAGGAGGAGAAAGAACTAAACTACAAAGCACAAAGGGGGGGGGCACGGCTTTCAGCCAAGACGGCTGACATTTGTCACTACAAAAATGAATAGATCGCTTAGCTTCAGGAAAAACAAAATACATGCTATCCTCACAGGGCAGTCTTGTGTTTCTTTATCTTTGAATGTGTGATATATATGTGTATATGCATTTTTGTCACGCTTGCATGTGTGAGTGGGGGTATGTGCATGCCATGGCATGTGCATGGCAAGCAGATGTCAGTCCTCATCTCCCACCTTCCTTGGGCCAGAGTCTTTTGTTGTTCCTTGCTGGGTACCCTCAGCTCACTGGCTGATGGCTTCTGGATTTCTCCCATCTCACTGTAGAAGCACCGTGATTATGGATATGCACCATCATGTCGGACTTTATGTAAGTTCTAGATGATCCAAACTCCAGTCTTCATGATTGTGTGGCCAAGACATTGCCGTCTTTTTGAAGGAACGTCTTCTATTGAGGAGCAGAGCTGCCAATCAAAGTGGTTTCCCCATGCACACTTTAGAATTCATACACAAGTAGATTTTGAACCCTGAGGCTGGGGATGGAGATATAGTTTTCCAGTAGCATTTCACCTTGGCAGAAATGGAAGCCACTTTCTTGTGGTTTCCCAAAGGGAATCATAGCATCACCAGAGGCTCGAGTGGTAAGAGATTAACAGATGAGACATCATATTTATGATTTTATCAGTGAATAATTAGCTAGGACATGCACAAGGTACAAGATAAAGACGTGGCAAAAGGCAGCACACCTTTGGAAGAATAAGGGTCAGAATGGAAC